ACGCATTCCCTGAGTCAGGGGTGGCTTGGGTCAGTCATGCTGTTGCCTGTGGGCCTGTAGCTTGCGACCCTGCCCTCAGGCCAGCAGCCCGGAAGCAAGGCTCTGTCCCTGCAGGCTCTGGGGGCCGGGAGCAGACCCTGTGACCGAAACAAAGCCCATGAGCAGAATCCAGGCAGCTCCACTAACCGGGAGCCAAGCCTGCTCCACCGTGTGACTCCCGTCTCCAGAGTGCTATGGCCTCTTCCTCCACAGTGGGGAGTCTCCTGGCTGGGAAACCATTGTCCTGGCTGTCCTGGGCTGCATTCCTATAGTGCCACTGGTACTCCTGTTTCATTGGTTACCATAGCAAGTGTGGTTCCTTAGTTAGCATTTCTACTGTTTATGGATACAGCAGTTAGCTGCGTGCCACCAGGGAAGTCCTGTGGCCTTCCACAGGAGGCAGACGTGCTGGGTGAGGACAGCTTCCTGTGCTTCATTGGCCAGGGCGGCTTCAGCCAGGTGAAGCTGGCCCACCCCCGGGACCTGGGACCAAGGTGGCCATGAAGGTCATCCAGAGAAATCACGAGGAGCCCCGCAGCTCGCAGAAGTAGCGGCTCCGGGCGGAAGTGGGTATCATCAAGGGTATGCACCCCCAGATATCATTTGGCTCCTGGAGGTGAGGCAGCAGCAGACCATGTGTACCTTGCCGATGGAATTTGCAACTGAGCACACAAATTCACCTGCATGGCTACCTGTGGGAGAAGGAGGCCTGGTTCGAGTTCAACCAGATCCTGTCGGCTGTGCACGCCTGCTCCGGGCATAATGTGGTGCCCAGACTCTGGCAAAGTGGGGAGTCTGCTCCTGGAAGCCGAGCTGCGTGTTGGATTGGCCAGCTGTGGTCTGAGCTGCGGGATCGCTGTGTGGGCCCACCTGGTCTTGCGCCTCACAAGTGCTCCTGAAGGAGGAAGACAGTGGTTGAAAAGATGATGTATGGAGCCGGGGGTGGTCCCGTATGCTATGGTGACTGGGTCCCTGCCTTTTATGGAAGCACATGGAGGAGCTGGAGACCTGCATCCCGTGTGGACACTATAAGCTCTATCTCATCTAAGCCAGGGCTTCGACGCTCGGGCGAGGCCCACAGTGGAAGATACCATGCCCTATCGCTGGCTGGGTGTGGGCCAAGAAGAACCTAAAATAACCTATGTGCAGTTTCTGGGTTCTTCCTAGATCCAGAAACTTGAGACTGCCGGGCAGTGGAGAGGAGTCCCTGTCCCACAGTCTATGTGATGGCACCATGTCTGTCACTCCGGTCTCCCACAAGGGCCACCCCAGGGGGAAGCCTGCGTTTCAGGACGGACTCTCCTTACAGCCTCGGTGTTCTGTGGAGCCACCCTGTGCCCAGGAACCTGAGGAAGATCACAAGTCAGCCAGCGCCCCCCTCCTCCCAACTCCAGTTGCCACGAGACCACCAGGAGGCAGAGCCACAGGCCTGTAGTGCAGCCCCCACGCCCGACTGTCCCCAGGCTGGCCAGCCGCAGATGTGGAGCCCCGGGCCCGGGCTGAGCCCCCTCACAGGCCCTGGGGCCTCCGCCTCCCCGCTCAGCCCCGGCAGCAGTGAGGGGCCCCTGGAAGAAGGGACGCACCCCTGGGGAGCGGCAGAGCACGAAGCTGTCCCAAGAGGGCAACCAGGGCAGGCGGCTGGGACCTCAGCCACTGCCTCGGACAAGAGCCGGGGCTGCTGGGGCGTGGGCAGGAGGATGGTCAGGTTCCTCCTGCGGGCGTGTTGCATCCTGCCGGCCAGCGAGGAGGACCCTGGGGTCAGGGGCACAGACGGGGCTCCCCCGTAGCCTCCTGCAGAGCGGCCCTCGAGGGGAGGGGCCCTGGAGCCGAGCTGCCTGAGGGTTGTTGGCTTCAGCCTTTTGTGAATGATTCTCATGAATAAAAATCCTAGCTGTGCGCAGGGTCGGGTTCCAGGTGATGCCTGGATCCCCGTGTGCGCCGTGGAAATGTCGGTTCAGTTGTCTGGCACAGGGATGGCCACGCAAAGACCGGTGCTGCCCGATGCCACTTCTTGGGGATTCCAAAGAGGTGACCCTGAAGCCAGAAGAGACTGATGGCTCCCAGAGGCGGGGGTTGGGGAGGGACAGGCCCACAGCCTGTGGGGTTGCAGATGCACAGGAAGGGGTGGGCGCTGAGCTCCGGGCACCCAGGGAGCTCCTAGTGCAGAGTGATGTCCTAGAAGAGCTGCGATAGCCCATGCCCGTGTCCCCCTGCCTTGTCACTGGGCAACACGAGGACCCCAGGGCCTGGAGCCTGACATCCTGGTGTGTGGGGTCGGCCAGGTGTGGACTCAGACGGCTGCAGGTGGGACTTGCTCAGCAGAGGATTGGGGTGGGCCAGTGCCTGGGGCTTCACAGGGCCCCTGGCAGCACCCTGGCCTTCCACAGCCTTCTGAGCAAAGCAAGGTGGCAAGGGGCCCGGGGAAGAGGGTCCCCTTGGGCCCTATGTGGATAAGCTGTGGGTTCGGGCCCTTCCCCCACCCCTGCTCTGTGTCCTCTTCCAGGTTTCTGGGGAGGGAGGTGGGCTCTTAGTGCCAACCCATCTTCAAGCTCTGAGGGTAAAACGGGCGCGTTGCCTTGGCTCACATCTCTCCTGCACCATCCCCCAGTGCACCTGGGCAGCCCGTTTATGAGTGTCCTCAGTGTCCTCCCCCCCATCTCACCATGGGGTCACCACCACCCTCATGATGCTGCCCCCTCTGCCCGCTATGCCCTGCCCCTCGCAGACGTCTCTGCCTGGGAGCCCTGAGCTTAAGATCAGCAAATCCCAAGCCGAGCCGGGCCCTTGTCTTGTGACTGACAGCTCTCCGAGTCCTTCACAGTGAGCAAGGGGACGGGGTGCTTACCCCATGACAGCTATCCCAGGATTCCCCCTGCTGGCTTCTCCCCCGCCATTCAGCTTTTGACCACATGCTCCCCTCCCTCTCTGCCCCACAGCCCCACCCGCGGGTGCAGCAGCACATGGGACCCCAGGGCTACATAGGCAATGTCCCTGGAGGACCCGCAGCAGCAACCCTCGCAGAGGGCAGACCATGTCCCACTGAGCAGCCAGGACATGGGATGTGGGGGCCGTGGTGGGCCATGAAGGGAGTGAGGGTGCTCTGGGGCTGTCACTCCTGTCGCTTGGTGGATAACAAGGCAGCCCGGCTGCTCTGCTGCAAGTAAGTACCAGGTGCTGAGATGCAGCCCTTAGTGAGGGGCTGCTGAGACCCCGTGAGGGCCGCCTCCCCCAACCTTTCCAGAGGATGCATGGGCAACAGAGAGCTGAGTGGATGAGCCCAGGGACCCAGAGGCTGGGAAGACTGTTGGAGACATAGCTGGGCATGTCCCCAAGAACAGTGAGTCCCCATGTGTCCTCCACTGCTGCCCCTCACCCTCTGCACGTGTTCCTCTCTTCATATTTCTGCACACAGAAAGCCCACAGCCCGGCCAAACTGGGGGTGGCATTCCAGGTCCCCAGGGACAGCTGCAGCATCTCACAGCACCTGAGGGCCAGCACCTGCCCAACACACACATCTGGTGTCATCTAGTCCAGCATGGATGTGAGGTGGCCACCCTTAGCCCATTTCCAGGGGAATCCAGGGCCTCTGATGGGTTAAGGAACTTGCCCACGGTCCCCTAGAGGCCCCAGAGCCAGGGCTGCTGGCCTCTGAAATTGTCCGCAAAGAGCACGACATCTCTCCAGGAGAATGGCCGTCCTCGCATTCCTATCTGCTGAGGCAGATGCTGCGCAGTGGACGGGCAGGGCCAGGAGCAACCTCCCCAGAGGAGCAGAGTCTGTGTGGGGCGAGGGCCCTGCCAGCTGACAAGGAGGGGGAGGTGTTCTTGGTGTCGGAGCCCCTGTGCGAAGGCCTGCGGGTGCTGTGCAGCCTGCGCCATGTGGCTCCATGTGGAGGCAGGAGGGGAGGATGTGACAGAGGGGAGAGGGGAAGCCCCAACTCGCCTCCTCCTACCCTGCCAGGCCCAGGCAGCTGGGCCTCCCTCTGCCTCCATCTCCCACTGTCGTCCTAGCACGAGACCCAGCCACAGAACCGACTGCTCACTCCCGGGCTGCCATGCTGCTCCGTGTACTCCTCTGCTCAGACACCACAGGTGGCCCCCGCCCCGGAAGTGGTCACCACTGAGGGGCAGTCCTGGCACCCCTGCAGTGTTTATGCCCAAACTCAATGCCCAGCCGAGTCACCACGCTTTCATGGCATTCATGTGGCAAGGGTGAGCCAAGGTCGCTTGGGTCTTGCAAGGGACCCCAGGGTGCCCATTTGAGGCACTTTGGTGAACTTGACCCCATGTGGCTGGGCTTGCTCATTTAACTGTTCAGTACATTTTCAGAGCCCCTGCCTGTGTCTGGCCCAGCACACTCATACAGCTCACAGGCTGTGACCCAAGTGTGCTCCCTGCATTTGGGAAGGGCCCCGCTGAAGCTATAGGGGGTTTGTGGGGGGAGGGGGCTGTGTATCCGGAAGGGCTTCCCTGAGGAGATGACCTCTAGTTGGGTCTCGCAAGGGTGACTCATCACTGAGCCAGGTCCTGGCACCCATAGGAACCAAGCATGTGAGTGAGTGAACAAGTGAACGGGCATCATGAACTGTCAGTGGGGAGGCGGGGGCTTGGAGACACAGGGTGCAGGGGGGCATGGTGGGGAGGGGCTGCAGCTCTTGCCAGCCTCCCTGGTCCTGTGTCCCGGCTGCTCTAGGAGCCCGTGTATGACCTTGGCTCTGGAATTCTGCTTGTCATTCTCCTGAGACCTCCACCTGTGTGGCCCCATGTGTAAAAGTATCCACACCTCACGGGCTGTGGGAAGGGGTGGTCAGTGCGAGCTGCCACGGCTGGGGAGGGAAGGGGGTGCCCAGGCCCCCACCCCAGCAGGGAAATGGCATGGAGGGTGCAGAGCAGGGGTGGGGGTGAGGACAGGCCACACATCCGGGTTCCAGGGCCAGAGCCAACGGCTCCCTCCACCCGCAGTGTCTTCAGGAGCAGGAGTCGGCATGGGACCTGGGACGCATTCAGCTTTGAGAGACCCATGGACACCCAGGCACAGAAGCCTGGGAGCAGCTGGACACAGGAGAAAAAGCTGTGATGGAGGCCAGTGACGGAGCTGGTGACCCAAGGGCGGGGGTGGCTGGGAGGCAGGAGGACCACAGAATCAGGAACTGGGGTCCCGCAGGGGTCGCCCCACCAGGGTCACGTCCCAGCCTCCCAGGGCTTGCCCGTGCCCCTCTGCTCCCACTGTGAGTCTCGCGTGGAATTCTCTGCAGTCCACGGACGGCTGACCCAGGCAACATTGCCCCGTGACTGGAAGAAAGGGCAGGCTCCTTTTCGGGCAATCGGGAGAGCCGCTTTGCTCTTGTTCCCTCTCTCCTACACCTTCCAGGGCACTCAGGACAGTGCATCCCACGCCACATGCCTGCTGCACAGCTGCTGCACGGTCCCGGGCTGCAGTGGGCGTGGCCTGATCGGCTGGGGCGCCACTGTGAGTCATGCATTGCCAACACCCATGGTCCTGCCCCAAGTGCAAGCCCCCCGCAAGGCCAGTCCCCGAGCCCTGCTGCCATGCTCCGCCTTCTGGGGTCCCTCATGTGAGAGATCCAGTGTCGGTCCAGCAGCTCTGCCCCAGGAGCGGTCGGGTACACGACTTTTCACCATGGAGAAGATGAGCCCCAGGAAGGGATGGCACCAGCACTTGAACAATTCCCTGGGGTGAGAGGACGCCATCTTAGTAGTAGGAGGAGGCGGCCTTGCTGTGCCTGTGCTGTGTGCCTCGCGAGAGGTGTGGTTATGGCCCCCAGCATGGCGGAGGTGGCTGGCCTGCGCTGCCCATGTGGAAGCTGGCAGGCAGTGAGCCATGGCTGCTCCCAACCAACAGGAACCGCCCTCGCCCCTACACACTCCCCACCCCACCCCACCCAGCCAGGGCGAGGGTGGGCCAGGGTTGTGGGCAGGGACTGCTGCCTGGGGCTGCTGCAGGTGCACCAGCACTGACACAGCTGCAGCACACAAAAGACACAAACTCTAGAACATGGAAGAAAGTGCCCTTCCTGGGGGAAGGTCCTTACGCTGTCTGCAGACAAAGTTCGACTCTGCAGAAGATGCAGAGCCCAACGCCCCACCCAGAGCAGGGCCCTGGTGGCAGACTGGGGCAGAGGGTCAGCACACGGACAAGGCCGTGACCTTAAGGGCAGGGCAGCGCGCGGGGCTCTGTGGGACGAAGGCTGCGCCGCGCGGACGTGCACCTGTGCTGCCCCGGGGGACAGGGTGCAGCCTCAGCTCCCAGGCTCAGCGGAAACGCACTGGCCAGTGGTCGTGGTCGCGGGGCCCGGTGCCCAGGGGCTGTGTGCGGGGCCCCACCAACGCTCTTCCCTTCCCGCGCGGCGTCACGGCTTGGCCCCCTGCCCGGCAGGCCTTCTCTGGCGTTCACTGCCCAGCAAGGCCCGACCTGTGGCTCCGGTCACGGCTGCGGGCGGCCCCGCACATGGGCCCTGGGAGCCCAGGCCCCGCCGGGCGCTCAGCAGCAGGGCCGCACTCTCGCTGGCGACCCCAGGCCGATGGCTTCCTCCCCTGAGCCGCTCTCCTCATGCGGAGTTGGAGCTGCAGCTGTCTGAACAGAGTTCTGGGTGGGAAGTCCGTAAGGGAGGCTGTGGGCGCTGAGGTGCAGAGCGGGGTACCTGGCACGTAAAGGAGGGCAAGTGGGCTGGCGACCTCCTCTGGCCCTGCCGCGACAGGGATCAGGCGTGGGGCACCAACGCCTGAGAGAATGAATGCAGCTTGAATGAATGAACGCACGCCGATCGGAGAGCAACCGGCTTCGTTTTTTGGAGGGGCTGTTTGACAACCCCCATTACTCGCTCAGGCTCTGAGAGGAAGTCCCGCCCCCTGCGGAAGTCCCGCCTATCCTCCCTGTTAAATGGCCGCCCAGGGCCCCCTGGGCCTCACTGCGACTGCGTCAACGTCAACGGACGCTCTTCACGCGGTCGCCGCCCTGAAGCGCGTGGTAGTGCGGCCCTGAGGCAGAGCTCGAGGCTCGCGGCCGCCCGGCTCAGCCAGCAGCAGGTAGTGTAGACACCAGAAACCCGCCCGTCGCATCCCGGTGTCCTGCCTGACCAGGGACCCAGGACCCATTCCCTTCTCCGCCTGCCCAGGCTCCGCCACTGCTGACCAGCGCCCAGGCCCTGCCCTGCCCGGCCCCGGCCTCGCCCGGCGCTTGCTGGTGCCCGGCCCTGGCCTGCTCTGCCTCCCCCGGACAGCAGACGCGTGGTGGCCACCCTGGCCCAGCCGCCCGCACCCTGGCCTGGCCGCCCGCCCTCCGCCTCCGGTGCCTCCCGGGACCGGCGCCCATCTGGCCGGGCGTCGCGGGCACGCGGACACGGACCCGGGTTGCAGGAGGAGCTGGCGGCTCCTTCTCCCGACACCGCCAGCCCTGCTCTGGCAGTCCCTGCACCCCGGGGTTCCCTAACTGCACGGGAACCCCCGTGTGCCAGGCAGAGCGGTGGCCCGGGCCAGGGAAGGGGCAGGAGGAGGGGAGGCGGGGAGGAGAAGGTGGGCATCCCTGGGAGAGGGGCCTACCTCGTGGGAGCAGGGCTGGTGACGGCCGTCATTGTCTCCCAGCCAGAGGGCCAGCAGGTCCCTGTGCACCTGGGACAGAGGACAACAGACAGACCGGGTCCTCCAGGGCCGGCGTGCCCCAGTGTGACCTGGAGGAGGACGTGCGGGCCAGGGCCAGGGCCCAGGAGGGAGACTCCGAGCACCCGGACAGCAGCGAGCCCTAAGCTGGGCCTCTGCCTACACCTGCGACTGACTGAAGGGTCCCCCATCAGCCCCTGGACTCTCCCGGCCTCGCTGGCCTCCCTGTGTGCTGGGTAGGTGCCGGGGCGCAGTGCCCACACTCTGCAACAAGGGGGTGCGCTAGTGACATTCCCCAGTGGTTTGGGTGCAGAGGCCCAGCGTTCCCCTCCCCCAGTGACGCCCAGGAGCAAGGTCAGAGAGAAGCGGCTGCTTCTGTGGCCGCTGGGCCTGGTGGTTGAGGCCGCTGTCCGCTGTCCGTAGCAGAGCCCCTGGGGCCCTATCTGGCTCCATCCTGGCCCTGGTTCCTGCTTGTGAGAGCCTGGGCGGCAGCCGAGATGGCTCAGGCTGTGGGGCTCCTACCGCCCCGTGGAGGCCGTGGGTTGAGTTCTGGACCCCTGGCTGAGTCTGGTCTCTTTGGGGGCATTTGCGGGCTGGGCAAGCTGCTGAGAGCGCTCTTTGTCTCTGATTCTCTCAGACCCGCACCTTAAGAATCGGCAGTCGTTGGCAACCCTGCCGTGGCCCTGGTGGCACACTGGGTCCTTAGCACCCTGAGGAGCCGGCGAGGCTCCGTCTGCTTTGCACAGAGGCGGAGGCCAGGGAGAGGGGGGCCGTGGGCTCCCATGAGCTGGCCGTGCAGCACCCGTGCCTTGGTCAGTAGACGTTGCCTCAGACCTGCTGACGCACACACTGTGTGTCAAGGCGCAGGCAGCAGCTGGGGCCACAAACTTGCTGGGGTCACAGCCAAGCAGCCGCACGCCCGGTGACCACAGCCAGGGCTCTGCTAGGCCGCTGGCCTCAGCTGGGCTCTGGGTCGGTGGCTCATGTGTCTGTCACCCTCTCCTGGAGTGAGCCAGCATAGGTTACTGCCGTCTCTCTCTCTCTCTCTCTCTCTAATGTTAAATAACAATGATTGTGTTAAATACTCTAACTTAATTGAATTTTTGGGGAAAATTTATTTATTTGGAAGAGTTGGAGAGACAAAGAGCTCTCACCTGCTAGTTCACTCCCACTCCAGCTGTGTCAGCCCAGAGCCAGGAGCCTCTCCCGGGTCTCCCATGTGGGTGCAGGGGCCGAAGCACTTGGGCCATCTGCCTCTGCTTTCCCAGCGCATTCGCAGGGAGCTGGATGGAACGTGGAGCGGCCAGGACTTGAACTCGTGCACATATGGGATGCCCGCTATGGGATGCTTGCTGTGCTCTCAGGCCCCTTTGTCTATGGCAAGGCCGAGACAGGAGGGTGAGCCACGTGGTTGAATCCCTGCATGAAAGTGACAGAGACGTCCTTCACCTGCTAGAACTTGACGTTGGGGTAGACTTGTACTTGAGCTGTCCCAGCCCGGGGGCTGACCTCACCTTTCCCGGGCTGTTTTGGAGGCTACTGGTTAGTCGTACAACGCCATCCCTAGGGTGTGTCTTTGCCATCTGCACAGTGACCTGAACCTGTCTTCACGTGGTGACTACACTGTGCATAGTGTCGCTTCTTAGTGTTTGGCCAAGAGCAACCCCAGGAAGGCGGTGTTCTCAGGCTGCCCTGGCCCTCTTAGCTCTGTGGCGTCTCGTGGACTTGCTTTTCTGATTGGGCTGCTTCCTTCCAAGGTGTTGCCAGAGAGATCCCCGTGTGCAGAACCTCAGGAGACCTTGGGCTGGGTGTGAAGTTCTAGGTTCCTCGTTTCTCCTTCCACCTCTGAGTGCTTCCGGGTAAGTGTGTTCTGGTGAGTGAGTGTTTGTACTGTTAACTGTCAGAGAGCCTGTGAATTTGGTACCTGCCTGGGCCGCAGCAGAGCAAACCTGTAGAGCTGGGTCGCAGTTGCTGAGCCTTGGCTGCTTGCCAGGGGCCCTGTAGCCGATGAGCTGATGAAGCTGTGAGAAAAGATGTAGTGTTTGTTTATTTCAGAGGGAAGAAAGGAAGGGAGAATGCGTGTGCAGAGAGAGCGAGCGAGTGGTGGATGGATCGATACTGTCCTATCCTGGCCTAGACTGCAATGGCTGGGGCTGGACCAGGCCTAAAATCGGGGCTGAGAACACAGTCCAGGTCTCCAGTTACTCACACCATCACTGTTGCTTTCCCAGAGGCCCAGCCGGGGACTGTGTCATATTTAACTGGGCAAATGGGTTGTGTCTACACGAGCTAAACGGCTGTGTGTCTTGCGCGGAGGAAGGCACCGAGACCGGGAGGGAGCAGGTCACTGCACAGCGCTCTGGCCTCCCTGCCACACCCACTGAGTGAGGGCTCAGCTCCCTCAGCCCTGGCCGGCCCGGGGTTCAGATAAGCAGCTGCTCCAGGATTCTTGGTGCTCCCCCAGTTCTCAGTCCGTGGGGCACCTTGGCGAGCTCGGTGCTCCTGGAAGCTCCCAGCCGCCAGCCAGCTCTGAGCAGGGGGTCTCAGCCAGCGCACCTGAGCACGCACCTGTGTGTGCGATGCTTTCCTGGTCGTGGCAGAGTGGACACCTTGCGCATCTCAGGATATTAGAAAGACTGTATGACCTCCAGGAAACCAGAGATAATGAGAGCACCTCTTTCAAGTGCTTTTGCCTCAGTTCTTATGTCAAGGAGGGGAACGATAACTGTTGGAGAATGTTACACACAATCAGACACGAACATAGCACTCACAGTCTCGTAAGGATTGACGTTGTCAGCTGGGTGGGAAAAGTGGAGGTTGAGTCAGGCGCCCACAGTGCCATTCGGGTCCGTGACGGATGGCATGTCCCAGGGTGGTCCCGTGAGAGCATGTCCCCTAGGGCTGTGGAAGCATGCTGATTTGTGGCGTACACACGATGGCTTCCACACAGTGACAGAACCCCCTCACGCTGCTGCTCTCGGGACTGTACTGCTTGTCTTGGCAAGAGCCTCCTGAAATCATGAAGCAGTGTGCGGCTCTACGAAGCCTCATCGTGACCAAGGGTGTGTATTTCCGTAAATGGATGACAGCTGAGGACGCTGTCTGTTAGGGGTGGCGTAATGAGCCCTCAGGGTGGTGTCGGCCACAGACAGGATTATCTGCTGGGTGAGCGCGCTCGTGCTGGCTGTACCTCGCTCAGTCGTAGGTCACTGGAGTTAGCAGGCGGAGCCAGCGAGCAAAGGCACAGCAAGCTCTTAGCATGAATGGGCGCGAGCTGTGCGGCACACGTGGCAGATGGCGGGCTGCAAGTGTGGCAGGAGAGTTTGGAGGAGCGGGCCTTGGAGAGTCTGAGGGGAGGGGCGCTCAGCGAGGCTTGAATTCCGCCACACGCATCCCTCAGAATCAGGAGGGCGTCCGCACACACTCGCAGAGCCTCCTCGGCTGGCTCCCGCCTCCAGCCCGTGGACGTGGGCTGTGCTTCAGAGCTGCTCCGGGCACATGTGGGGTCCTCTGTCTCCACCAGCGCAGGGATGTCGCCCGGGCTGGAGCCATGAGGTCACCGTCTCTCTGCGTTCACTGCATTTGCTTTCACTTGCACAGGGGCCGTCCCAACTGTCCGCATAATGGGGTCCTTGGCTGCCAAATCTGCATTTCCACAGAGGTCCCCTTGCACAGCCGAGTGGCATAGCCTGTCCTGGGGGCCCAGCTTTTGGGAGAAAACTGATGGGCTCAGTTGGGTCACCTGACTCCCTGTGGTCCCGTCAGCTGTGACCAAAAGGTGGTGACCCATGGTACACTGGGGCTGGGAAGGCGCCTCCGAAGATGCCTCACAGCAGAGGGCCCTTTACTGCCAAGCAGGGGGAAGATCACTTGCAGTTTGTTTATTTATCTGAAAGGCAGAGCTACGCAAAGAGAGAGGTCTTTAATCAACTGGTTCACTCCCCAAATGGCTGCAACGGCCAGGGTGGGGCCAGGCCGAAGCCAGGAGCCTGGAACTCCACCCAGGGACCCAAGTACTTGGGCCATCATCCACTGTCTTCCCAGGAACACTAGCGTGGAGCTGGATTGGAAGTGGAGCAGCCCAGACTTGAACCGGCACACATGTGGGATGCTGGTGTTGAGTCTCACCTTAACCTGCGGTGCTGCACCTGTGGAAGGCTCAAGGACGGAGTGGGCTGGCACTCTTTTTCTCCGTGTCCTGTAAGAGCTCATTGGTTCGGTCAAGTCTCAGTGCTGGTTACAAAATCAAAATGTGCTGTTTTTCCACTTTGTTATTGAAGGAACAAAGATGACCGTTTTGTTGCCTCTTAGAGAAGAGGTCAGGTTGGAAGAAAGTGTCAAAACTGAGAGTCCTGTTGGTGGCCAGCTTTCTCCATTCTCTAGTTCATATTGTAGCCAGGCAGTATTGTTAAAAAAATAAACTTTTGGGGCCGGTGCTGTGGCTCACCTGGTTAATCCTCCGCCTGCAATGCCGGCATCCCATATGGGCACCGGGTTCTAGTCCCGATTGCTCCTCTTCCAGTCCAGCTCTCTGCTGTGGCCCGGGAGTGCAGTGGAGAATGGCCCCAGTGCTTGGGCCCTGCACCCACATGGGAGACCAGGAGGAAGCACCTGGCTCCTGGCTTCGGATTGGCACAGTACACGGGCCGTAGCGGCCATTTGGGGGGTGAACCAATGGAAGGAAGACCTTTCTCTTTTTCTCACTGTCTATAACTCAACCTGTCAAATAAATAAATAAAAAAAACTCACAGCATCTAATCCAAGAGTTTCCTAATTTCTGCATAGGGGTGAGCCCATTAGAATGGATGGAGAGTTACTTGTAGCTGAAAAAAGCCTCTTTGTGACAGAGAGAGAGAAAAAAAAAAGGAAAAATCAGGGAAGGCATGGCTCTGTGAGGTCGAGCTGGCATCCCAGCCCTCCGTTCATACCCCAGGGGCCCTTGGGCATGGATTCGGACCCAGCACCCTGACCCAGGTCCTGGCTCAGATCACGAGTTTGACTCTCTGTGCTCCAGGCAGCCACAGGTGCACCTTCCATGAGTGATGGTGCTCCCAGGGGATTTCAGACCGAGCTGTAGCGCCTCAGCACGATGCAGGCAGCCTGCCCGGCACCCCAGGTTTAGCCAGTTGTGCGTTTTACCCGTTTCTGAAGGTTACCAATCATAGGGAAGTTTAAAGGTGTAAGTGAGAGAAGTGAGACTAGCTTGAATGTGCTCATGTGACTCAACTACAGTTGAAAAGGGGGAAACAAAGCCCTCTGCAGTGGCAGGAGCCAGATCTCATAGCCTCTGGGTACCTGGGCTGGCCCCTGTGGCTGTGGAAGCTGGATGCCTATGCCTGCCCCTGTGGTCCTGGAAGCCATATCTGGAAATAGGATGGCTGGGCCCACTTCCAGAAGCCGGGTGCAGAGTTCACAGATGCCTGGGGCCGCCCCTGTAGCCCCTTCCTGCCCTGCGTGGCTCCTCTGCCCTCCCTGGCTCCTGTTCCTCACCAGGAGAAGACTGAAGAAGAAAGGCCGATGAGATAATGGCCCTGTCAGCAGGAAGTCGGGGCCGTGAGCCCATGTCGGGGTCCAGTGGTGATGGTGGCATCTCTGGAGGCAAGCCGGGCCACTTCTAGGGAAGTCTGGGTGGCTCTGGCATGTCTTGCTGTGCCTACCCATTTGGCACATTAGGCATTCAGTCCCTGGGGGCCCTGCAGTGCTTCTGCATCCAGGGGTGTGGAATGGGTGCTGGTTGACCCCACTGTGCTAAGTGTTGGGGGCATGGAGGTATGAGAGGCTGGGGGGAGTGTTGGCTGCCCAGGGAGCTCTCCTCTTCTTCTCCCCAGTGTGGTTCTTCTCCCCCTACTTCCTGTCATTCACCCAGCCTCAGTTCCACGTGCTGTCTCACCTCTGCTGGCCAGGCGCTGACTTGGAACTGGGTAGAACAAGGAAGTCCAATTCTAATTAAAACAGAGCATTGCCACGGCCTGCAGAAGCAGGGGTAGGAGAAAGAGAAGAAACAAAATTAAGTGGGCTGGGAATCAAGAGGGACAAAAACCTTGTGTTGAAGACAGGCAGGAGCTGGCATAAACTCAGCTATCCACGTCCAGGTGAGTTCCATTTCCTGCCCCGTCCTCCTTGCTGGCTCACCGTTTATGTTGTGGGGGAGGAGCCGCCCCCAGCTGGACTTCTTGCAAGTGCCTGTCTCCATGCAAGAGAAGAGTTCGAGGAGGAGATGTAGAGGTGTGCAGGAGAGCAGGATTTATTGAGTGGAATAGTGCACACGCAGATGTCGGTGTGGGCAGTCTGTCGTCACGAGGAAGGTGTGCTGCCCTAATTGAATATTCAGAGGCTGATGCCATGGCATAACAGGTTAAGCCTCCACCTGCAGTGCCAACATCTCGTATGGGCACTGGTTTGAATCCCAGCTGCTCCACTTATGATCCAGCTCCCTGCTAATGTACCCAGGAAAGCAGTGGAAATGGCCCAAGTGCTTGGATCCCTGCTCTCAGATGGGAGACCTGGAGGAAGCTCCTGGCTCCTGGCTTGGCCCTGGCTCAGCCCTGGCCATTGCAACCATTTAGGGAATGAACCAGCTGATGGGAGCGCTTGTTATCTCTCTGTCCCTCTCTCTCCTTCTCTCTCTCCCCTCCTCCGTCCCCCTCTCCTCCTTCTCCTCCCCTCTGCTTTTCCCCTTCCCATCCCCTCCCCCTTCCCCTCCCCTCTCCCTTCCTCTGCCTCCCCCTTCTTCTCCTCCCCTTCCCTCTCTGCCTTTCAAATAAAATAAAAATAAATCTTAACAAAAAGAACTAATTGAATATTCAAAGAGGTGGAGTTCTGGGTGGGTCTGCAACACACATGGTGATCTCTAGGAAGA